AGTGTGTGTAAGTGTGTGAGTGTGCACCAGTGTTTGAACATCTGGTCATGTGAAAACCAGTTTCACAAGTTTCAAGTTTTACACATTTCAAGCAAGAGCCATTTTTGCTATTTGAAGAAGATTTGGGTTAAATTTGAATTATGTTTGGATTAAGGAAGAACTTCATACATACAAAAGTAAGTGTGTGTGTGTGTGTGCGCAACCATGCCACCTGTCATAGGTAATCATAGGCTCAAGCTGGCAGTCAAGCATGAGAATCAGTTAAGATAAGTATAATACTCCCCTAACTTAGTCGGATTACGGAAGTGAATTTAGCCATTGAAAGCAGGAGTTTTCTATTGGAGTTTTACATATTGGGACATACCAGTGACACACTGCAGTTCATATACCAAAAGGCTTTTCTTTTCTTTAGGTACAGTAAGCCGGTCCACATGTCTATTTTCATCAAGTAGATCCACTCTGGGTCATTAATTATGTTCCTGTCAGAAATTTACCAGGATGCATCTACCTCTGGCAAGATATCTTTGTACTATGTTCAGGCTACAGAATAAACAATATGTCAAAGCAGCGTATATAAAAACTTATACCACAGTAGCATGAAGACAGAACATACACATATAAAGTGAAATATCTAAAGAAAGCTCTGATATTGTAACATAATTAGTAGAGGTGTCTTCAGAAATCTATGGACTGTGCTCCATAACAGGGAATATTCCTATTACCCTACTCTGAATATTGCCCTCAAGTTGGATCATTATGTTCATAAAGCCTATGTGTTTGTGTTTGGAAATAAGTGAAAAATCAGCAGTGAATGTGACGATGTAATTTGTGTAGCTGTGTCTTACTTTGTCTTGAGAGTCACAATTCTGGCAGTGGCAGGTAAAATGGTACTGGTCCTCCAGCTGTCTCTGTCGATCTTCAGTCAGTGACAACGTTTCGATGTAACTTATAGTTAGCTTAAAACAGAGAGAACAGTTATTTTTTTACATTTTATTTTGGCTTTTTGCTATATTACTTATATTACTATACTTATATTTGCCACTCTACAGATTATAGTTAAATGCAGTTCAGGAGCAAGATAAATAATTTGGAATTTAAATTGTGATGTTTAGATTGAGTATAATGATGGAAAGAGATGCTGCAGGAGGGAAGTGTGTGTATATTTGTGCCTGTTTATCTTCCAGATGGCATGGATGCATCTCATTACATATAGTCAGGAGAGATGGTGAAGTATGGAAAATGAGGGAAGACACTGCCAATTTAGGAGGTGTCATCCTGCTTGTGTTGCAGTGATATTTCACTTGCCGACAATTCTGAGGAATACTTTAATGACATTATGTTCATTGTACCTCCGTCAGTATTTATTATTACTTATACAATATAATTCAGACGATAACCATGGTGATGTTATGCCCATGGAAAACATGGTTCTTAGTTTCAGATTACTCAAAACAGCCTCAGGCACTGACTTCTCCTCAATAACAACAGCAAATAAAAAACATTCAATAAATATTGCTCATATAGAACATGAACATAAAAGCAGAGGCAACATCACAGTCAATAAAACTGGAGTCATATTCCATGTTGTTAATGTTGCAAAGATGCAGTGTGAGTATTTCCTCTTGCTTATACCTCCTCTTCAGGGTTGATATCCTGCACAGCTCTGAGCTGCAGCTTTGTTCCCTCAAACACCATCACACAGTTTGGCCTACAGTCATGGTTTAGCAGAGATAAACTGGAAGAGAGCAAACAAGATGATGAGGAGCAGGAGGGAGAGAGACAGAGCAGCAGAAAGAGAGGAGAAGAGATGCGCAGTGAGGAGGGAAGGGAAGACATGAAGCAAAGAAGAGGGAATGGAAAGGAGAGACAGGCGAAAGAGAGAGAGAGAGAAATGTAACTCAGATTAAATGTTTAACTTCCAAATCCTTTCTGTAAAATCTGGTGTGTGTCTCCCTACAACATGTTGACTGGCAGCTCTTCCTCTCTCAAAAACAACACATAAGCACCTTTCATCTTTAAAGCGTTCCCTTTATATCATCTGCAGTGCAATAAATGTGTGAAAGGAGTGAAGTGAAGAAGACAGAAAGCACATGATGAAGGCTGAGACAAATTTGAACTCATGTCACAGCCAGGGCCTCATCCTGCTGAGCCACCAACTGCCACATGTCCGACTGGTTTGAGGTTTCTTAAATCAGTCAGAGCAATGTTAACTGAAATGGTAATTAGTGCCAACATATTCATGAGAGAAAAAAACACATGTAGACTGACACATCTCCCTCAAGATCGCCATCCATCTATCACCCAGTTTAGTGTGACAGCTGTGTCTTTTAACCTTCGATCCAACATGCTGTTATGGGGGTTAAATATCATTTGACTTCCCATCCTGCACATATAAGTTAAGACTCAGTGTTCAAATGAACCAAACACACAGACACAATGTTGAACACACAGACAATTCCCTGTATAGTATGACAAAAGGAGTACTACTGCTTCTGTCATAACAAATGTCACTCCACATTTCTGTCTATGTCGGTCTATCAGCCTCTCTCTCTCTTAGATACACATGCACAAATAAATCAGGAAACAATGGATACTCCACTTCTGTCAAAACAAAGGCTTTTGACTCATTTCCCAAATTTACTAAATATACAACCTCCTACACATACACACACATACACTGGCTGACACTGATGCCAAGTATGATTGTTTTTATTTACACTTGAGCCAGCATTTTGAGACAATGTTAGAAACTATGTATAATTGTAGGGGCAGGATGTACTCTGACACACATCATTTATTTAAGTGTAGAGCAGTGGAGGTATCTGTGAGAGAGATTTAATGGGAGGGAGGCAGGATTGTTCAAATTCTGGCTTTGATTGGCTAAATTATTTATATACGCCTGCTGGCACCTAATGAGTAGTAATACACTATATTAATGAATCCTGTGTGTGACTTATAGTACTGTAAAATACGCTTGGTTTGCTTAGTGTATTAGGAAAACTAAATAATAGAAACACCTCTTCGTTCAACAGACCCACAAACTGCAGCCTCAAAAGTGATCATAAAAAATAATATTCATGAAAGGAGGATTTATTGCAGGACTCATGGATTAGACTCCATTAGTTTTAGCTCGGGGTACCTGATAAACTGTCAATTGAGTGTATTAGTCTCATAATAGTTGTCTTATATGAAGCCTACACTGTAAAAAGGACTGACATACTTAACTTAAGCACCTAACTATACCGAATAGTGCTTACTTGTCTGTATAAATCTCAGTCTGTACTTGATGTGCCTCTTTCCCATGCTCAGGCTGTTGTGAATGCTGTGATTAAAAAAAAAAGTATTTAAAGACCTTTCTGACCTGTAAAAAGACATTTACTGTCACTGCACACATGGCTGGGAAAAAATACTGAAGAGGTTTGTCTGTTTTTATGACCCCCTCCATTACTGTTCTCTCGTTTATCATATTCATAGAGCAAAACAATGGGTGCAAGAGATAAAGACTGTGTGTGTGTGTGTGTGTGTGTTGAGCCTTTGTAAAACCATCAGTAACCCCCTGGCTTTGTTCTACAGTGGAGAAGTTGCGGATTGAATATCAACTAGAAATCAAGCCCTCCAAACGATGCTTTTATCTGATGGAGAGCAGCTCATTAGCATACTAATTAGATTAATTAACTAAACCACATCTCACATTAACAGTATCTGCTGAAACTAACTGTAGCTGTATGTAGCAGGACAGAAAGCCAAAGATCACATGGGTGTGAGAATAGAGAGAGTAAAGTACTACTGATTGATATTTAATGAGAGAAAGGGTGAAATACTTCTTCTTCTCTTTGTTACTGTTTCCTACAGCTTCATTTTTCAGAGAGAGATTCTCTTTGTTCACTACGCACGCACTTCACTAATGCAGCAGACATCATGGCACAAAACATTCAAACTGAATGTAGTGCAAAGCTTTGACGTGATATAGAACTTACATAACAAGCTGAATCAGGCTGTGTGCAATCAATGTATGGTAATTTACTGTTGATCAAAATAGCATCTGCTATAATTCAATAAAACAAGCAAACATGTTTTTAAAGTCTAAATGGGGTTAATACATTTTACAGGAACCATAAAAAGATTTCAAGTGGAAAAACAGTGAATTTGAGTAATTTCGTTCTGGGACAGCAATTGGGATCAAGGCCTTTTCATTTTCCCAAATTCCCTCGTTTCCCAGTTCTCTAGGTAGTCCTTGACTTCCTGACTTTGCATTTAATGGCTTCAGAAGGTTTGAGCATTAATTATCTAGTGACAGAAAAGCATAAAAACTGTTACAGTTCAACAACAAAAAACAGAGTCAATACTTTGAAGGTCAATACTACTATCAATATTTGATGATATGATATTCGGTGTATTAACATATAACCGCTTTCATAACCAACAATATTTGGAAAATGAGGATATCATTTTGTAATATAGAACCTGTGAAAATGCATTTTAAGCACAGTCTCCAGTGGAGCTGACACTAATAAAACTCTTTCAGTTGAGACGGACAAAGGCTCTTGCAGGACACCTTTGAACGGATTGCAATCCATAAACAGGTCTCAGGTCTCTGTATCATATCGTCAGCTCATCTCTTCTTCCTGTTTTCATTTCCGAGCATCTCTGTAAGGATTTGGCCGCAGCTTCACGTGGGTTTATGTTACTCTGAGCTGATATGAAATACAATGTTGGGGTAGATTACAACAAGTGAACAAAGATCTGTTATCAATCCAACTGTGAATCATTTTGCTCATCAATAGGCTAGTTAGCAGAGACAGACAGAGACAAAGACTAGCTAGGTGGAGACGAAGAGGGGATGAGAAAGTCAGCAAATGAGAAACATACAGTAGAGACAGAAAAATGAACAGAAAAAGATGGGGTGGGGGGGTGAACAGAGGTGTAGCCTCACCAAAGTAATCCCCCTCTCTTCAGCAAACCCTGTGGTTGCTAGGCAACCCAAAATATGAATAGGCAGGGGACCATCCTACGAACAGGCCCATCATTTATGGATGAGTTACAACACAAATCGCAGACACACACTGACACAGACACACATGGTTTGGCTGAGCTTTGGTAAAGCCACTGTGACCATCTGACATCTCAACAGCGGCCAGATAAACCGGCTGAGATACCTGCAGTGTGTGTGTGTGTGTGTGTGTGTGTGTGTGTGTAACAACTCTAACAACACGAGAGGCCAAATCCCACCCCATTCACCCACGACTCAATACATGGATTACAGTGCATATCCCCCATCCTCTGTGAGTATTTGTGTGTGTATGTGTATGTGTTTGTGTGTTACAACTCCCACATGCCAGACAAAAATTACATATCAGTTGGAGTCAAACCTCGTATTTCTCCACATGTTCTCGCCTCTCTCTTCTCCCCCGTCTTCCCCAAACAGCGTTATAATATTCTGTCAACATTCATTTTCAAGTTTTCGCCTCACAACAAAAAATTCACTTATTCTGTTCCTCCATTCTGCCTTGCACTTCAAAGAACTGTCAGAAAAATATAGCGAGCTGAGTGGGGGTGGGGCTTTGAAAGTGAAGGAGGGTGGGGTTGGTTGGGGTTGGTTGAGGTGTGGTGATCTGGCAGGTAACTCAAGAGCCACATTTAAATTTTGTGGCATTTATATTGTGCAAGTGAGACGACGCTAAACCAACTGACAAAGATTATGAGCAAATTGAAATTAATGATGCTTTTAAAAAGGGTGTACGGATTCACCACATGGCCTTTTGTTAGTGTGTGGTGTGTGTGTGTGTGTGTGTGTGTGTGTGTGTGTGTGTGTGTGTCACCTAGGATACAGCCCAACGCCAATCTCTTGCAACTCTCCATCACTGATGGTGAAACAATTACATGTCACCTAAAGGAGAGAAAGAGGATAAAAGAGAGGAAACAATAGAGGGAGATTATTTGTTAAATTGCTTCAGGGAACCAACAATACCTTTCATCATATGTTCTGAACATTTTTACATATCTCCGACACCTGCAAAACACCACAGCCACTGCAACTGAAACATGACATGCAAAGTCTTTGCTTTGTGGTGCAAAGGTATTGGATTGTGTAAAATTACCACCTGGTTATTTTTGAGGCAGGAAGAAAATTTTAAAGGAAAAATAAAGGTTTTCTGAAATAAAAGATGTCTGTAATATTTTTCCTCAACTGAGACAACAAGATCTTGTTTGGCCATTAAGAGAGAAAGTGAAATGCTTTTTCCTAAGTAATGTGAAAATGAGAAAGTTAAAAAATGTGAGAGTAAATGTTCAAAGACAATATTCCTCTAAAAAAAGATAACACATAACAAAATACAGGCAGTGATTCCTCTGGAATAAAGGTGATTTGAAAGTAATTTAACCACCTTATAGTAGTATAGTATACTAGTGAAGGAGAGAAGAGGAGATAAAATTGGAACAAACACTTCTCCGTGGAATCACTAAATACAGAAAATAAATAAATAAATAAAAACTGAAGGAAAAACTGGATTTGCAGTAAGATTTTTGCACGATTTTAACACAACGAAATACAACACTATAGACTGTCAAACTAATGGCTGTTTAGATAAGCTAGTTACAGGTATAAACAATATTTAATCTTTATGATAACCTACATGTTCAAACTACTGAGAGGACAGAAGGAATATATATATATTATATTGGAATATATCTTTACTTTTCATAGGTGGAAACCTCCCAAATGGTACAAACAGAAACCAAAATTACCAAAGCCGCCACCAAAATAATTTTAACCCACTAATCTAATTAAAAAGTTGCCCAGTTGGATGGATAATCGCCCAATCTGGCAAAACTAATGACATTCCCATCAGCCTCAGGGGTATTCTGTGTTTAGCGCTAATTAGTAAATGTTAGCATGCTAACATGCAAATGATGGTGAACATGGTAAACACGTTAGTAGCGAAGTCAGTAAAGCAGCTGACAGCAGAGTCCAAACCACGCCTCCTCCAAAATGCACCCACTAAAAAATAAATAGAAAATATTATCAAAAGGTAGCATCTTTAGCTATTTGCTCACTTTTAAGCAAAGAAATAAGGATAACCTAGTCTATGACCTCAGACTGCAGACCAAAGTGGCGCAAATCTGGGTTATTTTACTCATATGTGACTCAAATCACATAGAATTTGATCTTTTCAACTCTGATTTGGGCTTCTTTCATCTTTCGAGGTCCAAATCAGATACATTCTTTCCAAAAAGACCTCAGTGTGATCAGTCATATCAGAATGCATGTGTCTAATTAGTTTGATCGGTGATCTCTATAAACGTTGATCAGAGGAGCCGATCAGCATTTATTTATTTATTTATTTTTTAGGGGGTGCATATTTGGAAGTTCAAACTTCCTTTACCTTCCTTCATGTTCATGCTGTTTACTTGCTTAGTTTTGTTATTCTTGGCCTTCAAAAACTGAGGGCACCCTGTTTTAACCATATACAATCAAAACAAATGAAATTACAACAAATTACAAATCTTTAAAATCAAATATTCAATCTCAATAACCAACATTGAGTCAAGAATCTTTCTTCAAGTCTTTCTGCAAGCCGCAACTAAAACTTTATGATGTATCTAAACATTGGTTACACTCTGACACTCGGTGTGTATAAACCTCCCACAATGCACCAGGGTGGTCTGCATGATTTAGAGACTACATTTCAGGAATGAATTAATGAAAGAGTCAGAGCTTTCAGGAGACAGAGGAGAGATTTCAAATGACAGAGAGAGATGGTTTGCTTCTTTCAACTGACAGAGTCGGAGCAGAGATGGTTTGAATAATAAAACACTTGAAGAAGTTGTTTAAAAGAGAGAGAGAGACAGAGAGAGAGAGAGGGATGATGAAGGGAAAACAGCAATAAACACACAAAAAAATAAAATCAGTTAACAAAGAAGTGAAAGTCTTTGATGTGTCAATTTCTGAGTTGGCGCTGGTAAACAAGTGTGTTTGTGTGTGTTGGTGGTCGTGGTTTCTGCCCCATGCAGACTGTAGATAAATAATTGTAACTTTAGTAACATTAGTATTCAGACTGTCAGAAAAACATGCAGACATAGACATGCAGAGAGAGAGGATAGGATTTACACTGAGCCACAGACAGACAAACTCAGCAAAATGGGTTTGAATCTGCAGTTGTAATAAACACCATTACAGTCAGGCCTCATGGGATTTCACTTAACTTATTCATTATAAAGCCGACAGGAGGAGACACGATTACATAGGAAAACATTGAGACACACACACATACATATACATATACACACATATATATATATATATATATATATACATATACACACATATATATATATACATATATATACACATATATATATCATTTCAATATCACACACCTATATATATACATATATACACTATCTACAATATATATATAACTATAATATATATAAATACATAGACATATACATACTATACATATTATATACATATAAATTACATATACATATAACATATATACTACATATAACTACATATAACACACATAATGTTCTATATGCATCTTGCAAACTCTTCCTCACACCTGAATGTTTTTTCTATCTCCTCACCCACTTTTACACACATTCTTGTTATTGGATTGTTCTCAAAGACATTCATATCTGTGCATGCATAGATTAAAGTGGGGGAGACGAAAATATATAATACGGAAACATGTTATATACGTATTACAATACATCAAATAGAATAAGCTAGGTTTTTATGAAGTAGTATGTCGTGAGCAGCGGTGAAACGGATATTAAGATGAGTGTATGTTCAACATTTATTTCTTTTGTTGATATTTTGATCTAAAGTTTCAGCTTAGCAAATGTTTGAGGGTTTGTTGCTCTTCTTTTTCTTGTATGAGAAATTTACTGAGTATTCTTTGCGTTTTTGACCCTGTTGTTATACAAACTAGCAATATGAATCTTCACCTTTTATTCATGACAATTGATGATAAATATATGGTTAAATCTGTATATGTAATGTTGTCAACATTATGGCTGGCTGATTTATAGATTGATAACCAGATCTTATCGCCTGAAAAAAACATTCATCACTGAATGCATTTGTTACATAGGTGATGTTGATGGTTTAGAAATGAGCCCATGACTTTTGTCCTCTAAGTCTAAAATCAAGATATTTACAATGATATAAAAGAGAAAAGCAAAATCTCCATTTGAGAGCAGGAACAGAAAA